GTACTGTCAGTTGCGACCTCTGTCGCTGCCCGCCCGCGACGTCCTTGTCGCTTCCCTTCTAGGGGTCGGCCCTGCTGTATGGACCACCCGTCTATCGGCCGCCCGCCGAAACCTTGTCACTGCGCAAGGGCTTTGAGCATGGGTATGGCTGCATCGCCGTTTACGGCGACCAGGCGGACTCCACCGCCTGAGGCGGCGCCCCGGCTCGGGCGCGCGGGGCGGGCCTGCCCATTTTGGGCCGTTCCGCGCGCGCGGCGCCGCGGCCCCGCGCGGAGACAGCTCGCTTGCGCGCGAGCGGGAGAATGCTCCTCTCTATTCTCCTTGCGACCCGCGCTCTTGCTGTCTCTGCAGCTTCTCAGCCCCCCTCCCTCCTCTCCCTCATCTTGGCTGATGTGGCGCTGCATCGCCGTTTACGGCGACCAGGCGGACTCCACCGCCTGAGGCGGCGCCCCGGCTCGGGCGCGCGGGGCGGGCCTGCCCATTTTGGGCCGTTCCGCGCGCGCGGCGCCGCGGCCCCGCACGGAGACAGCTCGCTTGCGCGCGAGCGGGAGAATCATCATCATCGTCATCGTCATCATCATCATCATCATCATCATCATCATCATCATCGTCATCATCATCATCATCATCAACAACAACAACATCATCATCATCATCATCATCGTCATCGTCAACATCATCATCATCACGACCGTCATCATCACCAGCATCATCACCCATGTCGGCACACCCCTTACACGTGTCGTGGCCCCACAGGGAGCTCCACCGAAGGCCCCAGTGTCACTGCCCGCATGCGTCCCCGACACCCATTTCGGCACATCCGTTACACGTTTCGTGGTCCCATAGGGAGCTCCACCGAAGGCCCCAGTACCACCGCCCGCATGCGTCCCCCACACATTTCGGTACACTCGTCACAAATTTCGTGGCCCCATAGGGAGCTTTACCGAAGGCCCCAGTGCCACCGCCCGCATGCGTCCTCTACACCAATTTCGGCACACCTCTCACACGTTTCGTGGCCCCATGGGGAGTCCCAACGAAGGCCCAAGTGCCACCGCCCGCATGCGTCCCCCACACCCATTTCGGCACATCCGTTACACGTTTCGTGGCCTCATAGGGAGTCCCACAGAAGGCCCCAGTGTCACCGCCCGCATGCGTCCCCCACACCAATCCGGCACACCCGTTACACTTTTCGTGGCCCCGTATGGAGCTCCACCGAAGGCCCCAGTGCCACCGCCCGCGCGCGTCCCCACGCCTATTTCGGCACACCCCTCACACGTTTCGTGGCCCCATAGGGAGCACCACCGAAGGCCGCAGTGCCACCGCCCGCATGCGTCCCCCACACCCATTTCGGCACACCCTTTACACGTTTCGTGGCCTCACAGGGACCCCCCCCGAAGGCCCCAGTGCCAACGCCCGCATGCGTTCCCCACACCCATTTCGGCACATCCGTTACACGTTTCGTGGTTCCATAGGGAGCTCCACCGAAAGCCCCAGTGCCAACGCCCGCATGCGTCCCCCACACCCATTTCGGCACACCCCTCACTCGTTTCGTGGCCCCATATGGAGTTCCACTGAAGGCCGCAGTGCCACCTCCCGCATGCGTCCCCCGCGCACACACACACACACACATTACGGCACACCCCTCACACGTTTCGCGGCCCCATAGGGAACTCTACCGAAGGCTCCAGTGCCACCCCCGCATGCGTCCCCCACACCAATTTCGGCACACCCCTCACACGTTTCGTGGCCCCATAGGGAGTCCCACCGAAGGCCCCAGTGCCTCCGCCCGCATGCGTCCCCCACACCCATTTCGGCACACCCCTCACACGTTTCCTGGCCCCATAATGGGGCTCCACCGAAGGCGCCAATGTCACCGCCACCATGCGACCGCCACACTCAAGGTTTCAAGGAACAGCTCCAGACCTCTGGGGAAAAGGAGGAAGCGAAGGAGGAGGAGGAGGAGGAGGCCCGTTCCCCCCGTATGTATGTTGTTTTGCATTCGCGGGTGATTCCATTTCACCAGCGAGGGTCTTTTCCTTTGTTCTCGCTGTGGTCGCTGTAAACGAGCGGTGGAGGAGTGGCCTGGTGGATGTCGTCGCCGTTGTCGTCTTCGTGGAGGTGGGGTGGCGGCCGTGGACGCGCCGGGGATCCATCCAGTTCTTGCTCTTCGGCCAGGGCGGCAGCGGGGTGACCGCCATGGTGCAGGAGATCGTGCTGCCGGCCATGGACGCGCTGTTCCCCGTGGAACAGGGCAAGGCGAAGTCCACGCTGATAGTCTGCGCGAAATGGTCTCAGGCCGCGAACATCTCCACGGACGCTCACAAGGCCGTCAGTTGCCACAGGGCGGGGGTAATAGGAGTGCAGTCTTTCAGGAACAAGGACATGCCCGCGGGGGGCAAGCTCGAAGCGTTGCAGGACACGTCGGAGGCGGTCAGGTGTTTGATCCTGGTGAAGGCGAGCGTGATCTCGCCCAACCTGTACAACACGCTGGCGTTCCGGTCCTACCTGGGACGCCGGGCCGAGTGGGGCGCGGAGGGGCGGGAGTACGACCAGGTCGGCGGAGCCTTCGGCCGGATGCCCATCGCGGTCAACCTGGGGGACTTCCTACAGCTGAAGCCGACGGGAGGCAGAGTGTCCCTCATCTCCAGCTTCCAGGAACTAGCGGCGGCGGGTGTCAACCTCGCTCCAGAGTGCCAGGCCGTGATGAAACTCTTCTGCAACGCGCCGCTGCGCTTCGAGCTCCAGGCGCCCCGCCGCTTCGAGGGCCCGAAGCTCAGGGATCTCATGGCCTTCCTGCGCAAACTGGGGAGGCAGGCCCCTCGGGCCACTCGGGCCGCGTGGGGCGCCATGCGGCTGAAGCCCGATGATCGTCGGCTCTGGGAGGACAGGTTCCAGAACGGCCGCATGATCGGGACCTATTGGGGCACCGTGGCGCGGCGGATGAACGCGCGTGCCCGGCGGGGCGCGCGCGTCCTGAAGGAGCCCCTCTTCCCCGTGCAGGCCGCCGACAGGTCTGCCCCGACGATGAACGTCAAGGGCGCCGCCAAGATGATGAACTGCGCCAACCCGAAGAACGCCGGCGGGGTGCGCGGACCCCCCGGCGCGCGCGGGCATGCGGATCCGGCTCCTGTAGGCGCTCGGCCTCAAGAACGGCCTCGCCAAGGATGCCGAGGGGCAGATCGCGCGTCGTCGTGGGCCCTCGGGGTCGGGGCAACGCCCGGGAAGCCGAGAGAGATGGGGGGGGCGGGATCTATCTGAAGCGCCTGCCGCTGAGGTTCTGGGCGCGCGTGGAGAAGCGTGCGAGAGCGCCCGTTGTGGGCGACGTGAAGCGCCGCGACGACAGCCTCGCGGGGGACCTCGCGGGCCCGCTGGTGATCATGGAGCCCCGCGCGTCGGGGCCGTTCACCTTCCGCGCCTCCGAGGTCACCCGGGCGGGCTTCCCGTTCTCGCGCGGCAGGGTTATCGCCGCGGCGGCGTGCCGGGGGCGCGCCGTCCGAGAAGGCGACGGGGCGAGGGAATGGCGCCCCCGGGCAGTCTGCGGCCGAACTTAATGGGCGCGAGCGGTCTGCAGTCGGACCATCTCTCGGTTCTGTGGACTCTCGCCTTGGGCCGTCGGCTGTCGGGCGCGCTGCCCCCTCGGCCGACGTCGCTCACGCGCGATCCTGGACTGCGGCCGCCGCGAGGTCGGGGTCGGTGAGAAGGAGGGCGACGACTGGTGGCTGGAGCTCTACTCGCTGCTCTCGCGCGCCGCGCGCCACGAGGACTTCCTGCTCATGCGGGCGCCGCGCGTCGAGTTCTTCCCGGCAGGGCCGCCGGAGGGCTTGCGGAAGCAGCCGGGGCAGTTTGCGGCGCGCGCGAAGCGGCGCGGGGGAGGGGGGGGCGACGGCCCTCGCCAGGGAGCTCGGCTTCGCCGAGTTAATCCGCGAGGCCTGACCTGAGGAGCGCCCCCGAGCCGCGCCTTCATTCGACTGCCCAACTAATTGTCCGGCCTCGCGCCGCGGACGACCCGCGCGCGTCGCTGGGGCCCTCCCGTGGCGACCGGCGCGCGTCGCGGGAGCTCCGCGCTGCGTTTTTCCTTGCGCCTCGCTCGCCCGTCGTCGCTCCGCCCAGCGGTCAGAGCCGTGCCCGCTATCAGCCAGCCATCTAGCTAGCTAGCTAGCACTCCTTGCTCCGCGCAGCGGACGACCCGCGCGCGTCGGTGGGGCCCTTCCGGGCCGACCGGCGCACGTCGCGGGGACTCCGCGCCGCGCTGCGCTGATCGCACTCTTTGCACATATATATATAATATATATATATATTTATATATATATATATATATATTATATTCGCTCGATCGCAGATTCATTCGCACTTAGACCCACGCGCGCTCAGATTCACCCGCGCGCAGTCTCTCGTAATTCGACCGATCGTTTCCCTTCGTGTTGTGCGCCCCGCCACATTTCGGCACGCCCCCCATGCGGTTCGTGGGCGCCACCGAAGACGATGCTCATAATTTCGATACTCACAATTGCGTATGGTTGGGTCCTTCGCCAGGATATTTTTTGGGGAAGTGGGCCCTGCCGCGGGGGACCGGTGTGCCGCCTGTGCAAAGCCGCGCCGCTACGTTATCCGCCTGCCCAAGCTGAGCAGCGTGAGCAGCATTAGAATGGCAAATTTGTCCTTATTGAAGGAGTTCGGCGGATGTTTTCCTGGACACATATAACGAAGTTCCCATGAGTTGCCACCGAAGCCTCGCTGAGGCCAGCCGCGACGAGTTACCCCCAGGGTGGGTGGGTGGGGGACATGGACGTATAATCTGTGATACGTTACCGAAAAGTCGGCGGTGGGTCTCCGATTGCAAAAATCTCCTCCTCAGCCTCCTCAGCCTCCTCCTCCCGTTCCCTCCCCGTTTTCTTCCTCCTCCTTCTCCTCCTTCTGCTCCTTTTCGTCCCTCTTCCTCCTTCCTCCCCCTCCTTCATCCCTCTTCCCCCTCGATCCGAGAGCGCCAGCCTCGCCGGCAGGCGCCGCCGCGCCTGTGCCCGCTGGCCGGGCGGCGTCACCCGCCGCCGCGGTGCCGGCGCTGGCCACGCCGCCCTGCGGCCAGGCGGGCCCGCGCCCACGGCGGCCACGGCCGCCGTGGGCCGCGGCTTGCGGCTGGCAGCGACGACGGCGCGATGTGTGCACTACGTCGTTTGTTCGGTCGAGGGGGCAAGGTATTCGGCTTAGGCTTACGGATGCGGTGCAAACGCTCTCCAGCGCCCCCGCTGCCTGGGAAGCTGGGGCGTCTATTTACAGATCTCTCGGCCGACCGACTGGCGTGGTGTATACAGTCAGCCCCTCTTATCTGTCCCCTCCGGAAACATCATTTTCCGCCCGCTTTCAGGTGGACTGCGCGGAGCTCCTGGCGTCCGCGAGAGCAGAGGCCTCCGATGAGCTGCTGTCCCCGTCCGAGGGGCAGGCGCTTGGCGGCGTGCAAGTGGGGCTGTTGCGGGGGATTTTTTTGGCCAACCTTGGGGCCCTTGGGGCCTCAGGGGCCACATTCTGGCTTGGGTCCCAGTGACACATCCTTTGGGGTTTCTTGGGGCTTTCTTTATTCGGACTCTCTGAGGGTTTGGGGCTCAGGCCTATTGAGTAGATATATCCTGTTTTTCTTGTTCGCTCGAGTGTGAAATGCCGCCCTCCTCACTCGTGGTCCCGGGCCCGAAAACGCTCCCCACAAGTTGAATTCGATCATAACAATAATCATAATACTATTGATATTAGTGGTAGATGGGGCATATGTGGAAAACAAATATGAAACATCCGCGTATATGCCATCCTCCTCTCCCACACTCGACGACTCGACCCCTCAGGTGTCGGCCAGAATTTGAACAGGAGTTTGACAATGGCGACGAATTTTGGGCCGTTTGGAGGCCATATTTGGCCTTCTTGAGGCTTCTCATGCGTGTTGCAGTCCTTTTTGAGCCATCCTGGGAGGCATTTTGTGCATCTTGGAGGCGACGGGTGACAGATTTGGAGGCTCCGAGGGCCCCGAGCTGTGTCGGCAATTTCGTTTCCCTCCCCATCCCCTCTCCAATCGAACTGGATTTTGAACCGCAGGGGAGGGGGAAAGGGAGAGGGGGACAGTCAATTCTCTCACACGCCTTTTTGCCCGCCGACACGTGGGGATATGTCCGCACGGATTTCGTGGGTCCGCGCTGGATTCCCCCTGGCGGTGCAACCGGCGCCGTCCCTGGGGCGTTTCGCGCGCCAGGGAGGGGGTCCGGCTCCGCGCTGACTTCCGACAGTTTCTGTATGTATGTGTATGTATGTGTGCATGCATGTAGGCAGGCATGTATGTGCATGCGTATGTGTGTATTTGCATATTTCTATGTATGCGTATAGTTTCATTTACATGTATATGTATGTGCGTGTATATATATATATATATATAGATATATATGTATATGTATTTATGTGCATGGATTTATGTATGCATATCTATATATTTATGTATGTGTATGTGTATGTGTATGTGTATATGCATATGCATCTGTAGATGTATGAAAGAGCGCGTTCAGTTGTCGTTTGGAACAGGGGAGGTTTGGAACCAGACCCCCCCCCCCCTGGATGGGGGGGGGTTCGAACCCCCCCCCCTCTCCCCTGACGGAGGGGGGGGGGTTTCGAACCCCCCCCTTTCCCCTCCCCCTCATCCCCTACTTCTCTCTCCCTCTCCTCGGGTCGGCGCCTGCTTCGTCGGCGGCTGGCTGCGGCGGCGGGGACGACGACTTCGTTTTCTGGGCCGGCGGCGGGCGGCGGCGGCGGGGAGCGTCGACCAGGACGACGGCGACGACGATGACGATGACGACGCTCCGCCACCGTGCCTTGATTTTGGGTCAGAGTCCTAATGGATGCCTCTAAGGGTCTCGTCGGAGGGCTCTCGGGGACCTCTGAAGGGCATTTGTCCAGCCTCCTGCCAGGGGCGCCTCTTGGGCGTCTCTTGGGGCCTCTCTGAGGTGGTGGTGGTGGTGGTGGGCTGTGGTGGTGGTGGTGGTTGTGGCGGTGGTGGTGGTGGTGGTGGTGGTGGTGGTGGTCTGGTTGGTGGTGGTGGTGGTGGTGGTTGTCGTGGTGGTGGTGGTGGCAGTTTGTGGTTGTGGTGGTGGTTGTGGTGGCGGTGCTGGTGGTGGTGCGGTGCACTCATGTGGTGGTGGTGGTAGTTGTGGTGGGGGTGGTGGGTTAAGGTGGTCATTGTGGCGGGAGTGGAGTGGTGGTTTGTCGTGTTGGTTGTGGTGGTAGTGTTTGTGGTGGTTCTGGTGGTGGGTTGTGGTGGTGGTGGTGGTGGTGGCGGTGGTGGTGGTTGTGGTGGTGGTGGTGGTGGTGGTTTGTTGTGGTGGTGGTGGTGGTTGATGTGGTGGTTGATGGTGGCGGTGGTGGAGGTGGTGGTGCTGTGGTGGTTTGTGGTGGTGGTGGTTGTGGTGGTATGGTGGGTTGTGGTGGTGGTGGTCGTGGCGGTGGTGGTGGTTGTGGTGGTGGTGGAGGTGGTGGTGTGGTGGTTTCTTGTGGTGGTGGTGGGATGTGGTGGTGGTGGTGGTGGTGGCGGTGGTTGTGGTGGTGGTGGTGTGGTGGTGGTTTGTGGTGGTGGTGGTGGTGGGTCGTGGTGGTGGTGGTGGTGGTTTGGTGGTAGTGTGGTGTTGCTTATTGTTGCTTGGTGGTGGTGGTGGTGGTGGTGGTAGCGTGTTGTGGTTGTGGCGGTGGTTTGTGGAATTTGTGCTGTTGGTGGTGGTGGTGTGGTGGTTTGTGATGGTGGTGGTGGATTGTGCTGCTGGTAGTGGTTGTTTGTTGTTGTGGTGGTGTTGGTGGTAAAGCAGATTGTGGTGGTGGTGGTAGTGGTGGTCATTGTGGCGGTGGTTGGTGGTGGTGAGTTGTGGTGGTGGTGGTGGTTGTGGTGGTGGTGGTGGCTGTGGTGGTGGTGGTGGTGGTTGTGTGGTGGGTTGGTGGTGGTGGTGGATTGAGGTGGTGGTGGTGGTGGTGGTAGTGGTGGTAATCGTCGCTGCGTTCCCGCCGTCGGCGCTGCGCGGCCGCCAGCGCCGGCGCCACCGCTGGCGCTGGGTTTTTTTTTTTTGAACCCCCACTTCCCTTTGGGGGGATTTGGAATTACCCCCACCCATCGGGCTGCCTCTGGTCATCGTCGCTGCGTCCCCGCCGTCGGCGCTGCGCGGCCGCCAGCGCCGGCGCCACCGCTGGCGCTGGGTTTTTTTTTTTTGAACCCCCACTTCCCGTTGGGGGGGGGTTCGGGAGGCGGTGGGGGTTAGAGGGGAGGGGAGTCCCCGTGGTTCTGATCGACGGCGTCGCGTGTTCGGGGGGGGGGGGCCACCCCCCGGTTCGAAACGCGCAGCCGAATGTTCACAAGGCGAGCGCCCGTGAAACGCGCTCGCTCGTATGTAGGTGTATGTGTATATGTTTAGGAATATCTCTATATATATATATATACATATATACATATATTATTTGTATTTGATTGCGTAGCTGTACGTGTATGCGTGCGTATATTTATGTATATATCTACGTATGTGTATCTGTACATGTATGTATTTATGTATCTATATTTGTATAAATATGCACCTGCATCCATGTATGTGTAAACATTTGTATATGTATACGTGCGTGTGGATGTAATGCATATGTTATGCATGTGTCTTGCGTATATAAGTGGAAAGGTATATTAGGGTGCACGGACAATATCGGTGCCATTGATTTCCCTTGTCGTGCAAAAAGACTTTGGCATCGATACTTCTCTTCTCCACTCCTCTTTCTCCGCCCCTTCCTTTCCGAAAGCGCACGGGCGCCTGCGACAAATCAGCGACGTTGCGGAGGGACAGCGAAACCTTTTGATAAACAAAAAATAAAAACATAAAACAAACAACCAACACAACTTATGATTTCGGGAAAACCTTGCCAGCCCCTCCCCATAAGTTCTCCCGAAGTCATGTTTTTTTGTTTTCTGCGGAGTTTTCTCTTGTCGTTCGGCCTCCACAGAAGGATTCCGACTGAAACTCTCTTCATGAGGATTCCTATTGAAATCCTCCGCGTAAGGATTAATTTTTGACCCCCCCCGATTAAGAATTTCGCATTGAAATCTTCCACAGAAGGATTCCCATCGAAATCCTCGACGCAAGGAGATTCCGTTTGAGATCTTCCACAGCTCCTCACCATCCTTTTGCTCCTCCTCACCCTCCTGCTCCTGTTCCTCTTCATTCTGCCCCCTCCTCCCCGCTTCGAGGCGTTACTCACAAATCTAGTTGTGAACGCAGCTTCACAACTAATTTTACGAGTAGCCTCCCGGCACGAGACATTACTCACAAAACTAGTTTTGAACGCGGTTCCACGAGTAGTTTTGTGACCAATGTGTTCCTCCTCACCTTCGTCATGCTCCTTACCCTCCTCTTCTTCCTCACACTCCTCCTCCTCCTCCTCCTGCTCCTCCTCTTCATGGACAGCGAGCTGAGACAGAAACATGTAGCAGCGCAGTTGCTGGACCTCACAGCGCTGGAGGACGAGCCGGACACAGTCAAGTCGAGGTTAGCAGCGTTGTGCAGCGCACAGGCCGAACCAGCGATGCGCCTGGCCTTCAATGCCATGCTAGGGCGTGCCGTCGGCGCCATGCGGAACTGGTTCACAGGGGTTCAAGACCCTTACCCAGAGTTGGGATCGCTTCAGATGACCTCGGTGGATTCTGCAAGGGGTGCACATGGCTTGCACCCTACGCAGCATCAGTTCAGTGTAGATCGGACAGACAAGCTCGCAAGCTTGCCACGCAGTTGATGCCCAGATCATGCTCGGCCTGCGGGCCTGCGTCGTCGGTCGCCATGATTTCCCTTGTACAGTTACCACGAATATTTAGCAGCTGTCCAGTGGCTGCTGTGTTTTCTCCATGTGAACGCAATGTGGTAGGCGCATGGGCTGGGTGATATGCACAGGCCCGTTGGACTCCAGAGCCCGCCGTTCTGCACAATCTTACCCCCCTGATGCCACAGTGAGCCACTCAGCACCTGCCGCGGCGGGCAGCCGTGCCTCCCCCTCCTCCTCGTCTGAAGCCTGCCTCCCCCTCCGCGGCGTCCTAGATGTCCTGCGACTGAGACCTCGGGACCAATAGCTGTTCTCGTTTAGTTTTTTGCTTTTGTCTTGGGACGGGTTGTCTCGGACCTTCGCTGAGGATGCGCCCCTGGCCTCGCGGCGCCTGGGGGGAATCTCTTCCAGGGCCCTTGCGGTCCCAGCGCCCCTAGTGACACCTGAGGCCCTCGCTGCGCCTTTTGAACAGGGGGTGCTTTACCTCGGGCGGCTCCTCCCTGCCCGCTTGCGTGCTGCTGTGCCCTCCCTCTGCTCCCTTGCTTCGCTGGCTCCTCGCTTGCCCTCCTGGCGTGCTGGCTTGGCTCGCTGGCTGGTTCGCTTTCTCCCCTGCCCCCTCTCCGCCGCCTGGGG